CCAAGGTGCTTCATGGCCCATAATTGGGTCCCAAGCCCAACTTTGGAAACCAAAGTGCAAATATACTAACCTCACTCATTTGTAACAACTAAGGCAAAAATGTAATTAATTGAGAAACTTTTTCAGGACCCCACCTTGATGTTTCGGGACCCCACTTTGGGTCCCGACCCCAACTTTGGGAAACACTGATGAACACTGAGATGTCACATAATGTTTCTGTTTCTACTCCAGGACGTCCATTCACTCTCACCACTTCAGCTCCCTGACAAACCTGTCTCAGCTTTGATTGTCATGACCTCTCAGCCAGTCCAAACTGGGCTACATTAAGGTCATACATATTTCATGTGGTATCCCACTTATCTGACAGAGATTTTCTCTCCTTTTTATTTATTTATTTTCTTGTGATTTGAAATCACGCCCCATACTTTATTAGAATCTCAGAGTGCCTCCGGTTTGTGGTCAGATGGGTTGAATGTTTTATTCATGTCCTCTGAACATCTGCTTGTCTGGGTGTCAAAAAAAAAAAAAGAAAAAAAAAAGAAAGAAAATCATCAGACTCCCAGTGGACTCCTGCCTGACTGGCTGTAAATGAACTCCGAAGCTGAGACTGAAAACAACCTGTCAGAGCTCTCCACCACCAGAGGAAACTCTGAGGACGGTGAGCCGTGTAACGAAGATCCTGTGCCGGACACGGCTGATGGAAATCAACTCTGGACACTTTTTTTTTTTTGCTTTCTATCTCCTCACTTAAATACAATATTTAGAGTCTGATTCAGATTGTGTGAACGTGTTAAAAAAGCTCTCGACACAAGCTGATTTGCTTTTCCCACAGCTTTTCTGGGTGAGTTTTGACACTGTTGTTCATGCTGGCTCCTGGTCGACAAGTCTCCCTGAGTCACTGGAGGTTTGAGCCAACTGGAGGGAAAGAGCCTTGACCGCTAACAAGTGCTCACTGACTCATAGCCGCCACAGTATGTCCCACTGTGTGCAGGCATGTGTGAGTGAGCTCCAGAGTTTTATATACTGTTCAGTTATATACTTYTTCTATTTATCACGCTTCCCACAGAAAATGTGTCCTTTTCARAATTGAGAATGGACCTTAGCTCACATGCACCGCCCTTCAAACCTGTTGTTGGCTGTAAAAAAATGTTTTGATTCGACTACATTAAACTGAACACAAGAGGTGAATTAAATCTATTAAAACAACATTAAACACTTAAAAAAATACAAGATTAATAATAAAAAAGCTAATTTGTTCATTGAACTTGTAACAAACAGAACTGAAGCTTTATTAAGAGACAGTTCATTCAGAGGTTTTTAAACTGGGGTTCCAGGCCCCCCAGTGATCCATCTGCAAAGCTGTAGCTTAAAGGCCCACAACAAATTGTTGATTTTGGTTTTAACAAACACGCTAAACCAAACTTTTTTTATTCCTGTGGCTTTTAGGGGTTGAAAAGGCAGTGAATTATTTTTAAATCTGCATGAGAGTTTATGAGGAAGTCCCTGGAAATGTTTCACCCTTGTAAGACCCCAGACCCAAAAGGTTTGAGAACCCCTGYAATAGAAGATGCATTTAAGTTTTTGTGCTTCTTTGTCTGTACTCTTATGTTTTATGAACGACACAAATTTAAATGCAAGTTTAAGAACCTAATCACCGATTAACCTTTATAAATCCCCAGAGGTGTATAAAGTACTTGACAAAAATACTAAGTAAAAGTTAAAATACCTCAAAGGTGGCATATCGTTCAAAATCCCCTTTTTAACCATTAAATATATTTTATTGTATGCTTGGAGTTTAGGAATGGAGAAAATTTGAATTTATTCTCTCCTGGTGCTGCACAGGTATCTTTATATTCTGTTTGGATCATATTATTCAGTCTGTTCAGTTGTTTTTTTCTATTTTCTATGACGTTTTCGGAACTATTAAGTTGAATTACTTGCGATGAAACTGCCAAATAAAGTCTGGACTTAACTACATTTTGGTCATTTTTTTTCTCCTGGGTCAGACTCTGGCTCCAACATGTMAGACTGGATGGACAAGCCTTCCATTGTTGACATATTTTATTCAATTTGGGTAACAAAATATTTCTGCACTGCTAGAAAACTGTACCCCCCCCCCCCCCCCACATCTATCAAACTGGAGTGGACCGGTCTGGAAGCTGGAGGGGGGCGGGGCTTGAAGCGCCTTAAAGTAACAGTATCAAAACCAGGCACACATTAGAAAAGAGGTGAAGGAGGTGCTGGTTAAGTAAGAATAAGGATTGCAATTCCAATTGCATTGTAATTACACTTTGTAAAGACCCCAAATGAAYGATTTATATGTGAAAAGGAAGGATTTAAAAGCATATGTCCACTATAACAGAAAAGGATTTTGGTAAAAAAAAAAAAAAAATTTCACTGAAAAGTCATAAAACTGCTCACTTTAATTGGGAAAAGTAAAGTAAAAGCACTTTTAYCTTTACACCAAGAAATGACGTGTTTAGTTTACTTAATCAGGTTGTGTCAACTGGTTCCAGTAAATCAAGTTGGATAAATGTAATACATACTCAGTTTGGTTTAGTGGAACCATAACAAGTAAATTCAACACTTTTTTAGAGCAACAACTCCTCATGATGAGTTCAGTCATATTTAAATTTGGAGCCTGTAACTAGATGTTTAATTTATTTTAAAGCTTAAATGACAGCATCATTTTTATGTTTGAATGTAACAAAATAAAAGTAAAAGTTACCATAAAAATACTTGGTACAATTACAAATCCTCAGAAGAATTACTTAAGTAAAGTAAATTTACTTCATACACCTCTGTAACAAAATTTTATAAAAGAAAATAGCTCTTTAGGTGTTTATTTAACTTATCAAAAAACTCAAACTGTATATCATACAGCAGCACTGAATCTAAATAAATGAAATAACCTTTGGCGTTTTATCTAATTTCGAATTTTTTAAAAAAAACTCAAGAACGGGACAATCATATTTCTAACAGGTTTTCTGCTTCTAACATGTTTTTCTTTATCGTCAACTTTGATTTTGAAATTGTGGTGCTTTATTTTTTCTAACGCTGTGGCATTTTGTCTATATTGTTTTCAACCCAAGGCCACAGATTAAACTCTCAGGAGAACAACAGCAACAAAATGCTGAAAAACCGGATGAGTTCCATCAACTTGAGTTCAGTTTTGTTTATAAAGAAACACACCAATTCTTAACAAAAGTCATGCCAGTGCACTCCACAAAAGAGTAATCCAAATCTTTGAATCCGTTTCAGATCCAAGATTCAAAACCATTGGAAAAAAWTAAGAGCAACGAAGCTGATCGAGTGATATTTTCTTGATACGATGTCAGTTTGTGGCACTCATTTTCCTTTCCTCCCTTTTTCTACACGAACACAGATTTCTGCCCAAAAAGGGTGTCAATGCCCTCTGCATTCCTGAGCACAAATTTCTCCTCCTCCTCCACCTCGTCATCATCATCCAAACAGCTTCCCATCTTCTCTGCCCCAAACATTTAGTTCTCAGAACTAGATTTACATCATTATGCTGATATTGTTTCTTCTATAACAGCTGTTGCTGGATTCCAACTAATTAAGTCATTCCATCCTGTTTCCCCTGTAAATGACCCAGCATTCATTTCTTTAGATGTGTGGATTCATCCTTCAAAGCCCAGCTCCAACTGGCTCCATTCTGCTCAGTGGCTCTATAGATTTTCTCCAAATGATAAATTGGACACGGGGAGCCATTGAGATGTGACCTTTTGTCTTGGATGGACCTAATTACGCCCAGGTTGTTTGGATAAGCCCTATAATAACATGTTGTGGGGTGGGACGTTAAAACAATCAGCAAGGGACTAAGATGACCATCTCCTTTAACGCCACAAACCTATTGGCTAAAATAAAAAAAATAAAATAAATAAAAAAGCAATCAGAGCTTCAGAGTTGCACGAGTGTTTGGATGTTGTTCACTCATTTGACTGAAGAAACGGCGCGGCTCCATCCCATCCATCACCTCCACCCCTCCCCTCGCTGCTCAAATCCAGAAGCGCTTCGTTTCTAGTCCAGTCTCTCCTTTGGCTCCGCTTTAAGCAGGAATTTACAGAAAAGCTGCGGGTCTACAGAACCCAGACTTTAGGTCTCAAGCTACCAGGACGTCTCCTGGGTTTTCTTGGCGCTGTGAGAAGGTGGGGATGAGCCAGCTGGACGGATTCTATAAGGGGTAAAAAAYAAAGAGAAAACAAAAGTTGTGGATGCTTACTTTTACGCATGAACATTTAATGGACTTTTTCACCTCTAAAGGTCGTAGCGCAGCTAGAGAACAGGTCCAATTCTTTCTTTTGCAAACATMTCGCCCGCCAGCAGGCTGGAAGACCATTCAATCAGGAGATCACCGCGGATCCGCAGAGCGCAGATGATCGCAACTGGTGTTTGTGGCGTCGCGCTGGTGCTGGTGTTGGTGGTTCTGATTCCCGTCATGGTGAACTCCGCCGGAACCCCTGCCCGCTACGAGATGCTCGGATCTTGTCAGATGGTGTGCGACTCCCACGGGACCGCGACGGCGGCCACGGCCAAGGCCACCAGTCCGATCAAAGACAACCGGCTGGTGCAGTCGCTGCCGACGTTCATCCAGGGCCCGCAGGGAGAGCCCGGGCGCGTCGGGAGGATGGGGCCCAGGGGTCCGGTCGGAGAGCCCGGACCACCGGGACCGGCTGGTCCTCCCGGGGAGAGGGGCCCGCCCGGGCTACCGGGCCCACCCGGATTACCGGGAGCCAACGGGCCAACCGGTGCCATCAGCGCAGCCACCTACAACACCGTGCCAAAGATCGCGTTTTACGCAGGGCTGAAGAAACAGCACGAGGGCTACGAGGTGCTGAAGTTTGACGACGTCGTCACCAACCTTGGCAACCACTACGACCCCTCAACCGGAAAATTCACCTGTTCGATCCCCGGGATTTACTTCTTTGTTTACCACGTGCTGATGCGAGGCGGAGACGGCACGAGCATGTGGGCTGACCTCTGCAAAAACAACCAGGTGGGGAGTTTATTTATTTATTTATTTATAGTAAACAAATTAGCTTTAACTTGTTTTAACAGTTTGCACGATTAAAAGGTCCAGTTTGGACTTCGCGCGTTTTTACGCATGGGATGTCTCCACGCAAACGAATCTAAAACAATGAAAGTTCCCAGAAATGCGGATAAATGTTACTCTATAAACTGAGTCGACTGATCAAACTGCCCACTGTGCAGATCTAATGAGAAGCATTGTGATTAAACGTATCTTCCAGGTGAGAGCCAGCGCCATCGCCCAGGACGCAGACCAGAACTACGACTACGCAAGCAACAGCGTCGTCCTGCATCTGGAGCCCGGGGACGAGATCTACATCAAGCTGGACGGCGGGAAGGCGCACGGAGGCAACAACAACAAATACAGCACGTTCTCCGGCTTCATGCTGTACGCTGACTGAAACACGAGCTGAAAGGAAAGGACAGGAAAGAAAGAAAGAAAAAAAAAAGGTGCCGCTCTGCTTAAAGCTTGCTTCACTTGCACCTTCTTTCCAAGACAGTTCTCACCGTTTCTGTTGAAAATGATTGAAATAGGGAGGAAGTCGTGCAAAAAAACAACTATTTAACAAGGAAGAGCTGACAGTGTAATCCCAAGTTTTCATTTTGTAATCAGCAAAGTTGTCAGATTGATTCATGTGGCTCTGAATGAACTGTTATAGGCTTTACAAATTAATCACCAACTGTAGCTGCTGTGGTACCATACTGTATACTGACTGAGTGTAAATTGAAGGTTCAATGTGTTATTTAGCACTCAATTATAGATGCTTATAATATATTCACAGTTCACAGTGTTAGTCCATTTGTGTATTTTTTTTTCTTTTTTTCAAATGTCCTAATTGTTGCAAAAAGCTGTGATGATGCATGTTTTTTTAATGACATCTTAACACTGTGCAGCATCTAATATTGAAGCACAAGCACAAAGTGAACACTGCAAGTCATTTTGTGTGTGTGTGTGTGTGTCAACATCTGGTTTAGGCAGCAGGGTAGCCTGGTGGTTTGTCACAAAAACCGGACAGTACCGCTGAGCTCCCTCCTCTGCAACATTCACCGAGCCGCTCGCAGAACCGTCTCCTCGATGAGAATCGCTGTAAGCAAAAAAATTTTTAAAAAGTGTAAAACTAAAAAATAAAAAAAAAATAAAAAAGCCTCTGGCTCACTTTGTAAAGATTAATCAAAGTTATGCAGTTGTTCCACGGGTTCACAGTCATCCGTGGCCATCACGCCATTGATCATGTGTTGAAGTCACCCTGTGAGGCCACCTGTTCCCAGATGAGAGCAGGACGCGTCCTTCATCTGTGCCAGGCCCCCGCCAGCCTCCCGTAGACACACAGAGACACCCAGCGAGGGGCGACGGGACAACTCATCCAACACAACGTGTCAAAGATCCGAGCAGCATACTGATTACTAACCAGCCTCGTTATTTTCCCCCCCGCCAGACAACGCGTTTGCCCAGATGTCACAAATAGCAAGAGAGAAAGTGATGATGTTTAAATTGAAACGGTTTCTGCGGCACCGTATGTGTGAGCACCACTGCGGGGTGAAAATGGCTTTCTTCTGTTGTATCCACCACCTCGACCCCATACAGTCAAGACCCCTCCAAAAAAAAAAGAAAACGTCAAACGTGAGACCCGACAAATCTCTAAGTTTTCCCGTAAATAATCTGCTAACAAGGTGACAAACAGATGATTGCAAACTTAAATTTAGCTTTTAATTAATGGCATCGAGAAAAATGTCTCAGCTGGATAAAACAGCTGCGGATCATCATTTTCCCAATGAAAAAGATGAAGCTACAAGACACTTTGTTGAAAAAGACGCATAAAAATTAGACATTTATTCATTAAGGATTAAGACACCCAATGTCTCATTGTTATTAAATGAGTCTGTTATTGCAAAGATCTCAAAGTGTTCATTGTGAGATGTTGAATAGTCACATGAAAATAAAATTCAAGTTCCATAAAATCACTTTTGATGTGCCTTTTTTTTTCCTTGCTCTTTCTGGAGGTGGATTGTGGGGTGGGGTTTATTTAAAGGTCAGCCAGCGTTTAGGGTTGTCGATAAGGATTTTGTCCACCTGGTGCTGTGAGATGCCCCTCGTCAGCATCTTCGGCACGATGTTCTTCAGGATGTGAGCGTAGCCGTGGCCGCCGAACTTGGTCAGGCGATGTTTGGTGTGGATGTCGTGCGCCATCAGCAGCTTGTCCTCGTAGCCCTCCTTCACGAGAAAAGCCAAACTGGAAACACAAGCATTGACACACGCCTGTCATAAATACGACAAAGTGAATGTATGGGGAGATCTATGTGCAGAAAGAGCTAAACACCTGATGAGAATAAAAGGTATCATATCACTGAATATGTTTAAGGGAAAAAAAAACCTCTAATAAAAAACGTTTTCTGAGAGCAGTGTCACGCACGCCTTCACTCTCTGGCTGTCGCTGGGCATGTCCACTTCCAGGTTAAACGGGTAGTTCAGCACCTCCACTCCGAACAGGTCATACTCCAGGTAGCTCCCCAAGTTTGCAAACTCAAGCAGCTCGCCTTCGTCGAATAAAGTCCTGCAAAAATCAAACAAATCGCTGACTGATCCAAGCGCCTGAGGAAGGGTGGGTTTTTACAGTGAAAGCTAACACAGATCTTTAAAACTGATTGGGCACTGATTGGTGGACCTGATGGATAGAGCTTCACCAGAGCTAAACAACAAAAGAAATCTGAAGCTCCTATGTGTAATAGTTTTTGAGCAATAACCCTTTTTGTTTTTCCAGATACCCCTTTTTTCAGATGAATTGGGGGGTCCGGTGGGACCCCCCGGACCCCCAATTTAGACTTGGGCTAAGATCAGCTCTTTAGCATGTGATCTTATCTTATCCCTGAACGCTGTATTCCCTTCTTCTCATATGTTCATCACTCTTTCTCTCGTCTAGATTATTTTTTAGTCAGTAAATCATTACTAACCAACATTTTGAACAGTGAAATTTAC